GTTCACAAAGATTGGCCTAACTTAGAACTTCAGTTTTCAAATTCATTAAAACACTGCTTTCGGGTGCAAGTTGCAGGCAGACAACAGGCATATGGGAATTCACTTCAAGTTACCTGCTAGGTAATTATTACAAGCAGGTAATATCCTTATGAAGGGTATACTTTGAATGATTTCAGTTAAAGAACCTGCAGTAATTATTTAAAAAAAAAAAAAAAGGCATCTACAGCATTTAACAAAAGCAATGATTCAATATGCTTGGGAAAAATGAAAAAAAGCATTAGTTTAGAAACAATGTTAGATGATACAGTGAACCTATGTGACTGAGATCTACCAAAGCTGTGTTAGGCAATTAATACAGATGAAATAGTATAGTTTCTCAAATATATCATAATTTCCAACTGAGAAAATGAAATTAAAACGATCCCAGGAAAAGTTTAGATATGTAAGAAGAGGAAGTATTTCTCAATCTACACAGGAAGCTAAAAGTGAGGGTAAAAGCCTCTTTTGGCACAGAAGTCTCAGTAATGACTAGATGTTACTAGAACAAGAGTTGATTTGGTCCAATGGAAAGACCTAACATTTTAAAATGTTACCTGGAAAGACAATTTGCCGACTGAGGTTAAACCATGACACTCAGTAGCATCACTTCCAGGGTACAATAGCAAGGAAAATACCGTTCGTTTGGTACACGCACATTAATGGTAAAATGCTGAAAAACAAAATCACATTAGACTGCAAAAGCAGCAGGTAATTCTGATTTCTCAGAACTAGGTCCGTAGACCTATCCCTAAGACATGTTAGGGAGAGCCTTTTCCTCTTTATGATTCATGTCACAAGACCTTGAAAGCTATTTGCATCATACAGTCTTTCATACCTCAGGGATTTTTTAATAAAAATTAATTATCAGAAAACAATGCAATATATTGCAAAATACAAACAATCAGCAATGTTGTGTACACACGAAGAAATTATCTGCTGACAGGGAGGAAAGACAGCACAGAAAAACCCTGAAAATAAACTGCTTAAGAATCAACTGCGATAGTTGTAAGTAGAAAGTCTGTATGCAAAATTAGTATCTACTAGATCATTTCAGAGAAGAAAGATTCTTCTAAGAATTGAACATGCTCATTGTGGAAAAAGAATATTATTGACATTTTAAAATCTATTCTAGTTAATTGATATAATTTTGTTCATCCAGATTACATGGAAAATCTGCATCTTTGTGAGAAAGATCAAAGTCCTGTGACTATGAACCCACTCAAATGAAAAATAAGGAAGAAGAAAGGAGTTGTTCTGCCTGGAAAACCAATGCATTTTGTACAAGAAAATCTTGAGGTTATATAATCACCTGCCAACACTGTAAATGCCTTCTAATGAAGTCATGCAGTAACATTTCATTTTGCTCCCAGAGGGGGAAAAAAGAAAAAAGAATCTTTTAATTGGAAATCACTTAGCTTGCTAGAGCTATCACAATGCACACATACTCACTAACTCAACCGCCTTGTCTCACTGCAGTAGGCTGAGACAAATAGCAAATTACAGAATGTCATATGGAAAAGTTTGCCTAAAACGCTGTTTGTTGCTTAAAAAAGAATTCATAAAAATACATATGTTTACTATTCTTTATATGAGTCTTTTAGGGTATGGAGCTGACTACTGTATTCCTTAGCTCATTTTGAAAGAGGTGGTCCTTCAGGAGATGCTGAACAGAAAAACTGAAACCCCTAATTTTCAAGTGTCAAATCTTGCAATTTTACTCTGTATTTTTAATGCAGTCTTTCTATGCAATTTCCTACGGGCTTTTTTTCTTAAAGAAAAAAAACCCACAACATTTTGGTGTACAAATGTAACAACTCCCAAATCAGGTGCTATGCTTAGGATTTAAATTCCAATGCTTCAGCACAGCTGGAACTACAAGACTAACTATACCAACTGGAAGAAGGGATGGCAAGCTGTTACCCTAGAAGGCTGGCCCTTTGTATTTTGCTGATGCTCAGGTCTCTGGCTTGTCTTAGAAAAGCAAGTGAAGATTTTACTCCAGACTACAACCTCAAAGAAAAATTGATAAGGCAACCTCTGCTTGATCTTCCATATACAATGGCTCCAATTCCCTGTCTGTAACATGACACACATTTAGTTATCCTCCAAAAGTGTTAACAAACTTTTCTTTGCAGTAAAAGAAAGAAATAAATGGCAATTTGAAAAAAATATGCTGCTCAGCTGACTTGTTACTCTCATCAAAAAACATCACAGTCTCAGAAGTAGCTCCATCTAAATCAAAGTAGACACAGAACATGTAGAAAACCGTAAAAGGGCTCTGTAGAAAGCAAATATCCAGTCTCTTGTACAAGCTGTTTTACAAGAGTGGCAAAGAAGAGAAAACAAACAGAAAAAATCATGCTGATTCATTCTGATAGACCCCTATGTAGAACTGAACATATTTCTTGAGTAATCTGTGAGATCTTAAGAATTGCGTGACAGCCTCTCCAGATAGAGCTGAAGGTAGGCTAAGTACATAAATCTGTAAGCCATAGAAACCAGAAGCTACAGTAGGCAAGTTCTTTGTGTCACACTGATGTATAGTGTTGCCATCTCAGTTTTAGTCAAGGCAACTCCAACATCTGATGTTCCCAGAATCTTGTCCACTGTAGTCCTGCGCTTATATGGAAAAAAACACTCACAAAAATTAGTGAAAGGTAAGTTTCCCATGGCAATGGCTTCTTCAGGGTGAGAAAATCTGCAAGGTTCTTCCAAGAATTCCTCCAAGAAAATCCAGAAACAACTAAAGAGTAGAAATAATCTTAGGTAATTTTAACAGCTAAGTTTGAAGCATGTGAGTCTAGTCTTTATGACCAGTGGAGAGATCTGGCACTTCCAGATAGCGATTCATTTCATTCTAAATAAGTCTTCTATCCCCCTTTATCATCCTCTGGAAATGCCCGTTTCTCTTTACTGACTCTGAATGAAGTCTGGCGTCATTGTCCTAAATCTTAGAAATGAATACGTGGGTGGCTCAAATTAGGCAAAATCCCCCTAGATATAAAAACATTAATAATCTCAGTTTAAATACAAAATATTATTACTTTTTAATCAACCCTTGCTCTTTTCTAAATTATTAGAATCAGGAACATAGTATGTAGTAACTTTTTTGCCATCTTCCTACAGAACATAAATCTCATTCCACAATTTTCTAACAAAGGTTTTTGTCCATTAATAATAGAAACTGTTTGGCTGACCAGAAAGAGCATAAGTTCTGTATTTATAGCTGATACTTAAAGTCTGAAGAATATGTCCTATCAAATTATAAAAATTTTGAGGCACATCAAATTACTAAATGCTGCATAGATCATTCTCTCAGTATTTTTTTTTACTAGAAAAGATTTACGTAGCAATTAGGAATTTGATCTACTGTAAAACTGTTTTTTTTCTTTTCCGTAGAGCATTAAGATTTTAATTTGCAATAACTGTCCAGCAAATACCAAGTAACTCAATTGGAAACAACAATGCGAGTCACAGTGCCCCAAATCTCAAGGTCAATCAATAAGTGACCAAAGTAGAAGCTGTTCCTACTACACTGTTTGAACACTGGGTACAGCTGCCCACTCTATGATGTTTCTATGCACAGGGTACAATGTGCTCTGGAAGGAATGTATGTCACAGGTGTGGAGGAATGATATGGTACCCTTATTAAAATATTTCAATCAAACCAGAACCGCAGTCCTGTAGTATATCTATCATTAACAAGTACATATAGCACTTGCTAGAGCTAAAGAGCTCCAAAATCCCTCTCTGTGCACTGGGGTAAAAGGAAAAAAGTGGTAAGCAATCTGTGTTAGAGCAGGCCAGGGCACCATGACAAAGCAACATTAGCAGCTATAGCAGTACAAATTCTGCAGTAGCAGAACACATAAGCATGCAGACAAGCTCAAAAAACGAGCAATCAATTGGCTCAACAACACCATAGTGAAAGTAACATCAAAGTTAACAGTATTTCTTTACACAGAATAAATTCTCAGTTCTAACCAAAAGAGAGAGCCAGAGTTGACAGGAAGATAAAAGTTCTGCTCAGGTGATTAAGAATATAGAACAGTTGTCATACACTATATTATTATTATTGTAACAAAACAAAAAGGTCACCATAAATAAGTTCACAGCACTACAATTACAGTGTAGACAAAATATTAAATAAACTTACTTTGCTAGAGAAAACAGACCTTTAAATTAATTTCAGCTTTAGTCTCTGAATAACAACAGGATGACTCTCTTAAAAACACCAGACAACTAAAAAGTTACAGACAGTCCAACATTTTGAACAGGTACATTATAATGAAGGTTAGTAGAATTGCTCGATACGAAGAATACTCTTCCTATTAGAAAACTCAATTTTTCAGTTACTCCAATTTTAGCACCTGGGTTCAATTTTCCATGCTGAGTATCTGAATTAGATTTCCCAGGGAATATTTTAATCTCTACATTTCAGAAACACTTATTTCTGAAAACAAGTTTTATTACACTTAAAAAATTACTATGGCTTCCTCTTTGAGAGTAACCATGTACATCCCTACAAAAATCCACTCTCAAGCTGACTTAAATTACATTTATTAATATTTAAATTCCCTCTCCCCATCCTTCCATGCTCTAATCACAACTATCTCAAATGTCTGGGTTCTACAAAAAAAATCTTCCACTTTTACTGGGAAGGACTTTACTGGGGCATAAGATTCATAGAAAGATGTGTATTGTCTATCTCTATTAGGGGGGGAAGGAAGACTAATCATAAATAATGATAAAAAACTTAATTATGTTCTTAACATTTCTTGCCTATGACATGCATGTGGATATTTAAAGTTGTATACTCTACTGAACGTGCAATAATTGTGAATTTTCTTTAGGCTCAAATTTAAAGCTTGTTCAGTATGATATCTATAACCATCCCTGCCCCCGCCTCCGGGGTAAATTTTAATATTATTATAAGAAAAGAAAAAAATCTTTGGACTTACTCGGAAGTAGTCACTGCAGGCTGCCAGGACTGCTTTATGTGCATGGAATTTCTGCTCTTCAGCAATAAGGGTGATATCACAAAGTATGCCATCACTTCTTTGTTGGTTCAGGGCTGCCAGGACAGCATCATTATGGGAGCTGGACTGACAAAGCCTCTGACCTGTCAGCATTTCCTGAATGCTGAGAGGGGAAAGGGGAAAGATTTTGTCAAAAAAAAGATGTAGGAAACAAGCAGACTCTGTCAAAAACATAAAATAACTTTTTCTAAGACAAGATTGTTTGATAATTCTTGGAAAGAAAAAAAAGTCATGAACCCTGTCAGGCAAAAATCTTCATATGGAATAGACATCACAAGAAAAGCTCAGTTTAACAAAGTATTATGAAACCTGATTATATACTTAAATTTAAAAACCTCAACTGTTCTGATTTTCATTTGCTGCACTGGAAGTCAGCTGGACTCACAGGATTAATGCAGAATCATTTTAGAATTAAGTGAGAAGAATAAAGGGCCTAGGCCAATGGAATGACAGAAAACTTTACGTGGCTCAAACTGATGCATTAGTGAAAAGGAGTATGTATGTATGTAACTAGTCCTACTAAAAAGAATGAGGACTTATGGTCTCAGGTGGCTGTTCAAGTCTGATACTGCATTACTGAATGTTTTCAGACCATTTCAGGTCATTTACATTTATGAAGTGTTGTGGGTTTTGCTTGTTTGTTTTGTAGTGGGGGGGAGTTTGTTTGTTTTCAAAATGCTGAGGCCTTCTACCACCTCTGAATATCTCCTTGTACGAATACAAGATTCCCATGTCATCCAGCCTAGGATTGTCTGATTGCAGCTTCCTTTTCTACAGCAGAAGGAAGACACAATATAACTGTTGATGCAAACAGAAACAAATCAAACAAACCCGCAAATCCTCTTTGGCACAAAACAGTGCAGTTTATTTGAAATCTGTGAGACTATACCAATTTATATTGCCCGAGAATCTAGTCTTTATAGAAGCTGAGTTTACAGAGAGTCATTCCTGAGTAAATCGAAGTGAAGGTATAATTTTTTTTTTTTATTAAGGGGTAAATAAGCTATCATTTTTCCACTACAATCATGTAATTCACTCCATACACATGCTATGCAGCAGCTGTGTGGCTGCTATATTCTCCTTTCCCATCAACACACACTCTCTGCACTGCCTATCCAACTCCTGCACCTCGGGCATCTGTAAACTAATGCAGACCTGCCCTGCAGACTGTTTGCTCTAATCTAACCTAATCTTTTTAAAAGATAAGAACTAAGATGTTACCTCTAGAAGAAGGATGGCCAAAGTGGAATTACACAGGAATAACCTGTATCCGAATTTCACCCCTTCTCTAATAGTTTAGGTTTCACACATGGACATACCCTACGTACATTTCAAAATTATTCATTCAAATGATTCTTTTTCCTTCAGCTGTTCTGTTTGTGGAAGCCCACTGGTGTTCTAAATGACAATTATCAAGAAACGTAACTTGTTAAAATACAAGGGAATTATTTCTAACAATTATTTCCCTTCTGTAACTTCTATAGCAAAGTGACTAAATCAAACTAGTGCAAGTATAATAAGCTAATTATACCTAGAGATGGTTTCTCTTTATTTCTGTTTTTATTAGGCCTTTCTCCCAATGTTGTGAACCATGACCTTCATTCCTCTTGCTTTTTTAACCATCATCCAGAGGTGAAAGCCCTTTTCCACAAGAAAAGGACTATTTCACTCAATAGAAAACAGATCAGAGAGACAAAGCACAAGGGTAATTTTTGTGGGGAAATTTTTTATATATATACACACACACATATATATATCTAAAATCAGGCATCTGTGGTTTTAAATTGAGCTCTATCATAATCCTTTTTTCAATTCAATGAGCACAGTGAAAAATCAATTGCCTGTAACCCTTGCGTTAACAACATATGAGGAATGTATGCCAGGCAACTTAACTGGAATTTATGAATGAAAAAGCACTGATTCATTAAAAAATAACGTGGCCACTTTGTAGTGATATTGTCAGTTGATAAACTCAACAGCTATAAAATGCAAGGAATTCTTGATTCTCTTCTGCTGCAGAAGCGTGGCAGGGAAAGGAGAACAGAACTGGAATGATATGATGTCCCAGTAGTATCAGGTAGATCTCTGAGCTCCCAGATCAGCCCATGAGTGTTAACTACTCTGTAAAACAGAACAACTACCAGCATATCAAGACTAGTGCAAGGTTCTGCAGAAAAGCAACTAGATAAATAAATTCTGCTGAGTGTTCTGCCTGAAAGTGCTCCCAGAAACTAATTAAATCATAAATATAAAATTCTCTGATGAGACAATGGGCAATCCAAATAAATGAGAAAGACTAGACTGGCAAGTACACATAGGTGATTAAGACTCTGTAAGAGGGAAAGAGACAGAATGGGAGATTCTGTAAGGCAGGAAGTGAGTTTGGAGAAAATGCTTTGAAGCCATTTCAAAGAACTGAGAGTAGTATGTCCTGAGTAGTGGAACACTACACACACCAAAAATGATCACCAGCCACCAATTCAGATGCACGAATGTAAAATGCCAGTTGCTTCCACAATCAAAAATTCCAAGTATAGACAAAGGCATAAACAAGGTAACTTAAGAGACTGTGGGTCCCAAATCGATCCCATGCATGCTTCTCTTTGCTAGAGGTAAGTGTTCCTACCTAATGAACAAAAATACTAGTTTCACTTTTCTACTCTCTGTTAACTGATACTTTGGTAAACATCATCCTAAATGTGAACGACTTCCTACACGCTACCAAGTACTATACCTCAGGCACCTCTCAGATGGCATCTTTCAGTTTTGCTCTTCTGAATATCAACGCTTATAATCCTGTAGGGAAAGCAGCAAGCATTCCAGCTAGAAAGAGAGAAAGGAGAGGAACATTAAAATTCAAAGTATGCACAGCCTCGGCCTTAAAGATCAATCTTTTCAGGATGTGTAATTCAAAAGCAACTTTCTTCAATTCTTCTACTGCAGAAAGACATACCATATAGATTAGGTGCATGTGAAATTTTATTGGCTAGATTGAGTACAGTCTGAAAGTGGCCTTTCCTCTAGTCTTTTCTAGAAATTCACACCCTACCATCTGAACTTCCCGCATCTACTGCCCTTGAGGCATGTCTCCTTTCTGCAAACTCAGGAACACATACTATTTCAAAAAAGTGGAAGAGTGGTGAGGAGGGATATATCTTCCCAAAAATCCCTCAATTTGAAGAGTAGGCCAGAAGCATCTATTGGTGTTCGCTTACTTCCTTGAAAAACATACAGCTATAAAAATCTTACATCTCTCTCAGTGTAATTTCACAGGCCTGTCTAGGGTCTAAGAGGTTTGCCATACACCTAAACTCATGCTTTGACTATATTAATTTTTCCTAAAGACACAATTTGGTAGGGGAGAGGGGATAGGTTTACTGTATACTCCAAAAGGCAGCTCCCACTTCCCCCAGAGCAACATTCTTGATTGACCAATCAGTGCTATGACTAAGACCACGTCAACCTGGATGAAGGGCAACGAAGTTGGTGAAGGGTCTAGAGCACAAGTCTTATGAGGAGTGGCTGAGGGAACTGGGGTTGTTTAGCCCGGAGAAGAGGAGGCTGAGGGGAGACCTCATCGCTCTCTACAACTACCTGAAAGGAGGTTGTAGCGAGGTGGGTGTTGGTCTCTTCTCCCAAGTAACTAGCAATAGGACGAGAGGGAATGGCCTCAAGTTGCACCAGGGGAAGTTTAGATTGGATATTAGGAAAAATTTCTTCACCGAAAGGGTTGTCAAGCATTGGAAGAGGCTGCCCAGGGAAGTGGTTGAGTCACCATCCCTGAAGGCATTTAAAAGACATGTCGATGTGGTGTTTAGGGACATGGTTTAGTGGTGGACTCTGGCAGTGCTAGGTTAACAGTTGAGCTTCATGATCTTAATGGTCTTTTCCAACCTAAACCATTCTATGATTCTATAAACAAACCTTCTGGCAAAAACAAACAGTACAGTATATACAAGCAGTATGATCAGATTTATAAACTCTATAGCTTTTTTAAAAGGCAAAATATTAAAAGTCACCATATAAATTAACCTATGCTGTTTAACGAATACTGAAAGTTGCTTTTGTAACAAAAACAATAAAGGATGTTGTAACAGATAATTATTCCCAGCACCTGAATAAGGTGACAGAACTTTTCCATCTCTGCTGGTTGCCAGTGTGCCCCTGTAAAAGCAGTCATCTTTAATACAAGGGTTTTTTTCTGCTTTCCAATCAAAATGATGCCCTATTCCAGGTGCTATCAGAGGCTTCCACTGAGATCAATACTGAAACACCACAAACACCCTTTTGTAGTGTTACTAATTAAGCAAACAAAAGTACAAATAATCCAGTTCTTTGCTTATATTAATTTGTTCTTAATTTTGCCCCTTCATCTCACACTGACTGGTAGTTTTACTTTGAAAGCCACTACACTAATTTCAGGGAGACTCTGCAATGGGTATGTAAAGGCAGAATTAAGCCCTTAGTCGTTCCCCAGATAACAAACAAACAAGCAACCTGCAAGAAAGGACTATTAATCCTTTTCCTATCCTCCTGAATTACAATTCTTCATTCTCCAGACAAAACTACAGTTCCTACTTGCCAGAAAGGCACAGTGACATCTACCTTTCTGCACGTGCTGTCACCTGCACCACAGCAGTGGAAGGACCAAGTAGAACTATCCAAGAGTTTTGAATTTTGGAGGCTGATAACTTTGTTTGGCTGGATTGTCTTGAATACAGTACAAGGAATACTCTTGAAAATTCCTTGTAGATTTCAAGTCCTTACTCCAAACCACAGAAGGAGCAGCCACTCAGTTTAGATACAATTGTGTGTTTAGCTACGTGAAATGTAGTTTTCCTCCACCTCATTCTCAAAAACAGCAACGTCTAAAACTTCAGCCTGGGACAGGCACCTGGCATAGAAAACTACATCCTGAACAGCTGAAGTGTCCAAAGAAGTAAGTTATTGAAAACAGGGTTCTATGACAAATTGTTAACTGGTGTAACAGCCAGCACAGCCGACACATGACATTTCAACTTCATGTATCAGGTATAAAAGAAAAAATAGATTTTAGTAGAATAGTCAAAGGAAAGGTACAGTACTTTGGCTGCTTATTTAAACCATATGTGGATCGTTTAACGTAACACTGTGACAATGAAGTATTACAATTCAGCAAAATTTGAAGAATGGAAATGTTTGCATATTTTTCTCCCTTTTCCCAAAAGGTTATAATGCTGAGCAAGGGGGTGAGGTCATTGAGAACTTAGGCCAATGATTCAGCTGAATGCTCAGCAAATTGGTATGCAGTGCTTCCCAATGATGGTTTCAGAACATTTCACTCTCACCATCAACTCGGTTTCTAGTTACATTAAGCAAATTCACTTTATCCTTCAAGAGGCAGAAAAACACAGCATATTAAGTTAGTGGTCCAGGTGCTGGCAACTAATGAAGCAAACACATTTCCTGATCGATGTACCTGCTATTGTATACACCCATATATGACCTATGCAACATTTCAGTGGTCAGAACAGGCTTCTAAGTTCAAACTTTGCATTCGTCAGTACCAAAAGGAAAGACTCAACAGTTAACTTGACTGATACACACAAAAGTTTTAACTAGGTCCTTAAATGGCCTAAGTCCTACACCAGAACTGCTAATACAGAACTAATATCTGTAACTATTACACCATTACAACATCCATATAAATGCCAGCACTACCCATACTGGCACAAAGAATTCTAGAGCAAAAATTCCTTACTCCACCACAGTTGTGAATATGGACATCCAAATCAAGGGTTTGAACTCTGCTGTTTGGAGAGACAGCGGCCAGAAGCAACTCACCTCAGATATGCAGAATTCCTTGTATCATAAACCAATGCATTACAAACAGAAAACAGAAGTATACTTAAGGAGGTGCCTGAATATTCAGCTAAAACAAATGAGAACTTTTACAATAATCAAGTCTATGCAGATATACTTATCAGACATTCTGATGAAATATATAAAACATAACATATACAATATGTAATATATAAAAAAAATATGTATACAAAACACCTGCATAAGAATAAGGATTCCAGATTCTTATTCCATAAGAATAAGATTTCCAGGATGCCCCATCCCTGGAAACATTTCAGGTCAGGCTGGACAGGGCTCTGAGCAACCTGATCTAGTTGAAGATGTCCCTGCCCACGGCAGGGGGGTTGGACTAGATGACCTTTAGAGGTCCCTTCCAACCCAAACTATTCTATGACTCTATGATTCTAAGAATAAAGAACATAACTTATTGGTTTTCTAGCCACTGTCCAAGTCTAAAGCAACTCACCCTGATATCACATCTGAACAAGGTTACTTTTTTCAGTCTCAGGGGATCAGAACTTAACACTTTCTGAAGAATGAAGAAAAAAAGCCATTCTTCTCCTAGGAATTCAAGTTTCAGAATAGGAAAAATCTCTCAGATGACTTTAAACAGCTTGACAGCATTTTCAAGGGGCTTTCATCAAGGTTTGCAAAAGATGTCTAGGATACACTGCCTTGTTTTTTCCACATTGTTGAACTTGTTTTCATGCCACTCTGCAATCACATCCAGAGGCACCTCAAAGCATGGGCCTAACTGGGCCCTTGAGTGCACATAGGCTACTAAGGACTTTCTCTCTGCTTCTGTCCCTCTCACGATCCAGAGTCAGCACTACCAGAAATACAGTTCAATAAACTGTTAAGCTTCTCGACCAAATCACCCCGAGTTTCGGCAGGCCACCCTCCTTCCTACTCATCACAGCACTGCACAAACAAGCATTCTTGTAATGATAAACTCCCCTGAAAACAGTAGAGCCCAATTCACATTTTTATAAACATGGGTAGGAAACTTTAATCAATTTTTCTTCCTCATCTTCTCTAATCTGCCAGTTTTTTAAGTCAAGAAATGTCCAACAGTCCTGATATTGCTGGCTGCAATTAGGAAATCCTACACCAGCCAGAGACTGGCAGGGAAGAAATTCAAGCTTTCTCTGACATTTTCAAGAGGTCCAAACTCTCTGGCCCACAAAAAAAAAAAAACAAGCAGCAGTGAAAGCAAACAGGAGAAGGGCCAAGGCCTGGAGGAAAAAGTGTTCCTTCTAAAATAACTAAGGCATATGCTGCAAAGAATTACAAAACATCCAAACAGTCCCATATTGAGTTCAATGTTTTACTCAGACAAATCAATCTTTCCTAAATTTTGCCATATGTCTTTTCTCCTCCCAAGTGCCAGCACAGCATGCCTCACTTTTTATTAAATCTACATCACATATACAAGAGAACTATGACAGTGTGTAAATCATTTAAACAATACTGCACTGATTTTCTTTAGCAATATAGAATTACTTAATGCAGCTCAAAATTTTTAATAATTGGAAATTCTGATGTATTTATTTATCCTTGTTAAAAAAAGAAAAAAAAAGAAAAAAAAAAGAGGCACTTCCATCTGTTGCATGGACGTGCTGTGCCAGGACAGTTCCAAAATCCTTTGTACCAAGAGTTTTCTTCTGTTTCAGATAGCTGGATCCACCTTCTCTATGTAAACTAACTGTCATCGGTACATAAGGAAGTTCTTTGTGTTAGAATGTTTAAGACATACTATTGTCTTTCTATTTAACTACTTCAAGTAATTAAATTGGTTTAAAAGATTAGTTTACAAATTTAAGGATAAGACTTTTGGTTTAAATGGAAAACTTTAATTCCACCTAAACCCTTCTGTTCTAGTGAAATACTCCATTATGCTGGAGATTAACAGGAAA